GTTTGAGTGCTGCATCCTTTAAAAATAGCCTACTGCAAGAAATCTGGGATGAAGGTAGAAGATGGGTAAAATGGGGTGTCCTACTGATGATTCGTCTCCAAAAAGGTGCAGAAACATAATGTGGTGACCTTCGGGGTGTCAGTCCAGCTTCTCAAATTAGCAGGTTGATCCATAGCCGAGAAGGCAGTGTTTGAATTCAGCGCTGACTGACGTTGCAGCAGTCATATCTTCACGCCGAGTCAAAGGGATAGAGGCGAAAGATCAGTCAACGGCTTGACAACGAAGAAAAGCCGTTGCTGGTCGGCTCAGTCGTATTGGCAACTGCCATCTTCCAGCTGGGGACCCCTGGAACCAAATGTCAGTCATTCTAACGGATGAGGCTAGGCTATATCACAAGCAGTGGTAGCCTGTATCGAAGCTAGTGCCTCCAATACGCGGATGTTCTAAAAAGGTAATCGTCCAGCTGTAACAACCTTTCGGTGCCTAGCTGCCATGCCATCCGAAAGAATCACAAGGGATAAGATACTGCCAGGTTACCCAGGCCTATAGCGGGAAAGTCTAGGGGTGGAGGTCGGGTTCGAACCACGGACCTTCCAGTCAGAAAATCCGTTCTCTAACCAATAAGCCATTTCGCCCACGCGGTTGTTCTACTCCACACGTTGAGACAAATAGGACAGCTTAACATCAACGCCGTTTCATTTGATGCTCTTTGTTTTCACTTCCTTAGTATCCTTAGGCACGTGAAGGGGACGTGACGGCTAGAACTATTGCACCTCTGTATACAGTTTACAGCTGAGTAACCGGTAGGAATCAAAGCCACTATCTTCAGTCACTAGGTACTTCAACTCTCTCTCTAGAGCGGAAGTAGTGTAGTTCAACTCCTACCGATCAAGGTCCGCATGTAGAGTTGGGTGACCACCAGCTCTAGCAAATGATTATCCAACCTCATTCTCTATACCGTTAGTCGAATACACCATTCTGGGCGTCGTCTAGAACAGAGGAACTACCGGAGAGTTACGGCAACTGTGTTGGTAGGTAATGAAGTCAAACGTCGGATGAGACGGCTGTTAAATAAGATTCACATCCGATACAAATAGTGTACATGACTCCCACTAGTCCTCATTCGAGCCTACTGTTTCAATGGGATCGTAAAATGCGAAGTACTTGTAGTTGTCGTCCATTGGACTTACTGTGCCAGTGGAAAAGCGAGACTATGCAGTGTTTGAAACATAATGGATTCGAAGGACTTATTTGTCTTTGACGGACGGTTTTATTGAAAATGGAGCTCATCTAACGGATGTTCCTCCTGAAACAGACTGCATTGTTTGCGAAAGTACCTCGTGGAATGTCGTACGAAATAATTCGTTGATTTTTTTTATAGCGCAAAACTACTATGGGAACCAGAGGGCACTCAGAAGCTGACTACTGGACGAGCAAACCAATCACACACTCAGGCAATGAAAGTTTGATTTAGAAGTTTACGTATGCACATTTACAAGTTCAGGTTCCCGTATACCAACTACGATGGCGAAGGACCAAACTTCACATGCGTCAATACAGTCAGGAGTCGGTAGTTCAGGAACCGGCCTCCATTCTCAGAAAACGGGTACGAAGCCTCTGTTGTGAAGATCCGGTTCAATAGCACCTACGTGGATGTGTCCCACTGCACCGAAAAGTAACATCTTCGAAATGATCGACGATGCGTCACTGCTGTCAGTATGCGGTGGACTGTCAATTCACTCTTATACGGAAACAGTCCGCTTGGAAGACCTCGGCAGAATACCTACCCTGAGGTTAACTGGTCACGGTCGAGTGGTTTAACTGTAGTAAATTACCAGCACCTCGTGAGCTTTTTGTTGGCTGCATCCAGCCTAGCTACGTGCTCCAGAAAACGGTTCCATTCATTCACCTGGTGAACGCATTTTCCCGACGATACTGCATTAAATCTGAGAATCTATAGATCTCCCAGAACAAAACTTTCATATGCGGCAGACTGGATGCTTCACTGAGCCCCGACCCGTTGACTGATGATTGATTCATCACCGAAACCTTCTTGGATTCCCCCGTTTTGAGAAAAAGTTCAAACTATAGAAATTTAGAATTTGCTAGCTGAACAGAATCCCATAACTCTACTCAGGGAGGCCAGCAGAGATCACGCTCAGTCAGCACAAACTAAGCTGGCCTTGTGTGAATGTCCGCCGTTAAATGAACGCTGAACACGAGACAACACTAGGTCGGTGGTACTTCCTACAGGTACCAACAACACAGAGCAGCTACCAGGCTGAGAGCTCACCAAAAATGTGCATGTATGCAGTCGTCATATCCCTGTTTAGGGTTGGGCAATCTGGCAGTATCCCTGCCTTCTTGCTTCCATTGGGTGGGATGGCGGCTAGGCACCGAAAAAGTGTTGCAGTTGAGCGACCATCTTTTAGTCGTTACAAGATCACCAAATTGCAGTGGATAAGAGACAGATACAGCCTTCCTACGGTCTGTCCCTTAAGCAGCACAGCGCTTAGGTCTAGGACCGGAATTCGTAGACAGTAACAATACTGGAAAGTAGTGAAGCCAAATCATCCTGGCACAGAAGACAGCCGCTGTAAGTGGAGACGTTAGGCTTCTGATGGTCCGAAAGTGCTCGCACGCGCCCCGTATCTTAATTAGACCACATCCGCTACCCATAAATTTAAAAAGCGGTCCCACTGAAACTAATTATTGCGGAGCCAGTTGTCTTGAAATTTCCAAGTGTCGAAGACTGAGAAGTCAAGGTTGCCATGATGAGACTAGATGTGGCCCAGATATCCAAGCAGAAATAACCTTGGACGACCAAGTGGATCAAAACCCCCACGTGCGTTCACGTTGGTTGGCTGTACCTTCACAAGGATCATCAGAAAAGATTTTTTGAAGGAAAATTGCTGATAAGATGGAGCTCCACATCGAGCTACCGGTGAAGGGAAGAAGGCTTTCAAGTGAACTGCGTTCTCTGGTTCCGAATCGCTGTACACAACGATATCGTCTCCATACATGGCAACATTCTGGAGTCTGTTCATTAAACGAAGCATCAAGCGGACGATGCCCCAGACAAACCAAATGGCACTCGTCTAAATTGATATTGGGTGTCCCCAACCGTAAACACCGTTTTCTCCCGGTCCTGCGCCTTGATAGGTAGTTGCCAGTATTCGGGACGCAAGTCGAACAGAGATATCGGGAATGCTGGAAGGAATCGAAAATCGCCGCAACCGAAGGGACAGCTACAACCCGATTTACGGTCAGTTCATTCAAGCGCCGGAAATCCACGCAAAACCTGTACTTTCCGTTCGCCTTTGTTACACCGGTACAATGACATTTTTGACTGGGATCGACGGGTGGGATACAGAGTAGCAAGTAGTGCGAAGTGAGCGTTTTCAAGAACCTGTACGACCTCAAATTGCAACATGCTCACCGAAACAGCTATCTCACGCTTCGCCAGCCCGTATAAAGCACCCGCTTTTACGCCCAAAGTAAATTGAAGGTGAGATGACTAATTGTCCATGCAACACAGTTTTGAAATGCAGTACAGCCACCGAGTTAGATAGGTGACCACCCCAGATGAGAAATATCAAATTTCGAGCAGCATTTATGGTTTCTAGGTTCTTAATGGAACAGGTATTTACTGCTAACTCTGAAGAGAGGGAGAACAGACGTCCCATGCAGGCAGACTATTCACAAAAACTTCCGGAGGCAACACACTAGTGAATACCGGTACCTACATAATCAGACAGATGGAAGACAGCAAGTCAACCGATGTTGCATAATGAACGAGTACGGAATTGCAGACCAGGGACCGCATCAAATGACGGGTGCCGCAACCTATGGCCGATAAAGTAGAGCCCGGGACTTGTCGGACCGTTCTGGCTTATGAACTGTCAACGATACAAGCTGCGGACATGAACCTAGGCAACGTGAGACCTTCGAAGGTTCAAGAAAACATGCAAACCGCACCCTCAGTAAATCCAGAGGTGCCTATTATGCACACGGAGAGTTCTGCGAAGTCACGTGGGCATCACAATGTAGTCAATCGTCCATAGGAACGTCAAGAAAACAAACTCCGCGTGAACAATGTGACGCAAAAAGCACAAGAATCCAAGAAACTGAGTCGACGGCAAATACCGCTTGATGTCGAAACATATGTGCCTGGTAGCACGCAAGGTTCACTGGTCAAGTTGGAATACCCTCCAAGGACCGGGCAGTGACTGAGAGCAGAACCATGACACCGTGAAACGAAACGGTATTCTCAAGCAAAGTATGTAATCACAACCTTCACTCCCTTAAGAATTGCAGCCAGCTTAAGCGTCTACTTACGAGTGACACGATAAGATAAAAACAATCAATCAGCTGCAACACCCTTTCTGCTCCTAGCTGCCACGCCATCAGAAGCAGGGATGCCGCCAGGTTGCCCAAGCCTAGAGGGGGTAGTCGAGAGGAGAGGCCGATTCGAACCACGGACCAATGGGTTAGTAAATTCGCGCTCCAACTACCTGGGTCATCTCGCCCCTGCCATTCTTGCAAAGGTCTTTTTATCCGGTAGGCTCGTGTAGCTGTAAAGCATAGGCTGGAGCTGCTACCCAAGAATGCAGGTGGAGTAGGAAAACCCAGAATTTAACAACCACCTAAACTTACTTACATACGCTCGGCGGAAGACACACTAGGACTACGAAAGCGATAAAGCACCTCCGTTTAATCCGCGGGACAATAACCCTCAAAGAGAGAACATCTAGGCTTCTGACATCCAATTACAGCTGATCCATCAAGGCACTTCATAGGGCAAGACACGCGTACCAACTCACCACAGATTTTAAGCCAGTTTAATGATATAAAACAATATATATTCGATACAAAAAGTACAGTAGCCATAAAAGGACAAATGCAGTACGGCCCATACTATGGGTCTATAATGGACATCTTGGAACGATGAAAATAACGCCCATCCTGTGTACAAATATATAGACAATGAACAGAACAGATCAGTCAGAGTCCAACTTGGCCTTCTTCCCTGCGTTGTATTTTGCCATAGCCTAAGAGGAAGGTGACCACAAAATCAGCAACTTACTTTCTCATAACGTTGCTTCTCTACCTGCGCCTGACTCTCATACTTCGACTTGTTTTTGCACGTCTCCCACCGCTTCCCTAGCTCCTTAGCTATCTCACTGACCTTCCAATCGGGATGGTCTGCCTTAACCTTTGGTCGCTCGTCGTTGCAAAACAAGAAGAACGCTGACAGAGCTTTCTTTGGGGCATTAGGATCCTTTTTCCTCTTCCTGCTTTTGCCCTCATCCGCGGGGGGTTCGTAGCTTTGCATTTCCTTCCTATATCTTTCTTTGTCTTTAGCAGCAAGGTCCTCAAACTTCTTCTTTTCTTTTGCTGTGAGATTCTAACGCAACAGTTGAACAAGAGCGACCGACTCACCTTCCACTGTTCAGAGCATTCTTTGGAAAATGTCTTGAAGTCAAGAGTTACGCTTGGATGCTTCTTTTTCTGATCAGCATGCATTGACTGCAAAAACAACGCATATGGGGTCAGCGCTCCTTTGGGCTTCGACTTATCCTTTGCCATGGTATGTGGCAAGCGGTGGACAGAAATACGAAATAAGGCGGACACCGCGAAAACTGATGAAAACCCATGGAACCCAGTAAAACAAAGATCAAGGTGTAATCATAGTAAAGTGAATTAGCAAGCTAACGCTTGTTGCGATATAAGGCGGATATACATTTGACACTGAAAGATAATTTTCATCTCCAAAAACATTTTTTAATTTACGCGGCACATTTGAAAATGTGCGCAAAAATTTCCCGCCACTGTCAACATTCGAGCAGTTGGACATAAAAGACCCGTAAATTTCACCATGTGCAACGACACTGACGTAATTTCGATTTCCGATGGTGCTCAGTACCCCCAGTTCAATGAAAATTGCATATATTCTGTTAAGTACAAATGTGCTCAAACATTATCGATTCGTGGCAAGGTGATTCCCGTACTTTTTTGAACCGTACGCGGTCAGCAGTTTAGTCACTGCGGTGGTGGAACGGGCTGTGCAAAATTTCAATGATTCGTGATTTTTGTGTGACTGGTCCCCAGCGTTTGGTAAGATTTTCGAGCCCGTTGATAAATCGCAGTGATGACAGGGCCAACATGTGATCCGTGCTCCAAACTACAGAAAACAGAGATGGGTTAATTTGAGTGAAGCTGTTGTAACTCCATAAATATTTAGTCTGAACCAGCGTCTGTGTAACCTCAGATTATGAAGCAGAGAGAAGACCCTTTTTGCAAACTTGGTTTCCTAGGTATTGCAGGTGTGGATCAGACGCACTCAGGCAGCGACACGTAGGACGGTTTGGGCAACAAACACTTACATTATGTTGTGCAGTACGACAACCACATTTCCCACATTCACCTGGATTGAAAATCCAGTGATTACCATCACTGTTCACTCAGGACGGTCAGATATGCCTGCGACGCTCCGTGAAATAATATTTGGAGGAGTATTGGGGGACGAAAGATTTCTTGATCAACAAAGGAGAGCGCGTTTTGGCAGAAGTTGTTTGTGCTTTCTACGATCGTTAGGATTTGAATTTTGTGTAAGATTTAGACCCCATTATTGTGTGGGGATCTAGATTCGCCAGCTAATTACTGTGGAACTGTTTTCTCGCGACCCCATATCATTGTTAGATGAAAGATTGCCGACGAGAGTTGTTTTGCGTTATTATTTTTCTTGGTAAGTGGGATGAATTAATATGGGGGCATGTGTGGCCGGATAAATAAAAGCACTCGTTTTGTTTTAGCCACCACCAGTTCTGTCATACGTATATACAACAACACGGGTGTCCCTTGTTATCTACCGTCGTCGTCTTTGGGAGCAACGAGCGCAACCACATTATCTTCACCCTTCGTCCCCCGCCCCGTTGGGGGCTGAAGGGGTTGAGTAAGTTATCAAAATGTCCACTATATGGTTACTTGGACTGCGGAAATCGTTTTTCGCTATCGCCATCATCCCATCGGATAAAGTATCTACAGGCTAAGGGATCTTGCAGGAGTGCCGGTAATTTCTGCACGACAATGTCTTTGGAGCTTTTACTACATTTAGTATTCCGGGGCCATTCAAGTCAGCAACACTCACATTGGTTACGAGACCTTGTTGCAGTTGACTGAGCGACGATCATGTTGCGTTTATTGGCGTTACCATAGCATGTATGGGCGTAGCGGGAAGGGTACTAAGCACAAGCGAGGTGGGCGCATATGTTTATGCCCCAACTATGGAATGCGTGCGATCACTGGAATGCAAGTTACCTTCAGATTGCATAAAATGCTGTCATAGTGGAAAGGAAGAATGAATACACAAACACGAGCTTAGATGCGGTTGAGTACTGGAAATTTGAGATGGACTTGCAAGCCTTCTATCAGTGGTCACGACACGATTTGTTAATGCGACATCTTCCGCCTAAAGCTAGCAGTAGTTCTGCAGAACTGTGTTAGTTCTTGATGGCCCATCTTATCCTACATACTTTCCACCGTATTTCGTTATTGCTTTAATCCTTATGTCTCTTTAATACCCTTAGCGATGAACACCTCTCAGGCAATATACCCTGCTTCCCTAAACGATCAAACGTCGTAATTCATCTGGCCGTCCAGGTAAAGACTAGATCCATTTGGACTCGGTCAACGATAAGTGAGGTTTGATTCCAGTTTGATTCTCCCCCCTTTTACTTGGCTTCTCAGTAACAACCGACTAACTGGAAGCTCAAGGTAAACACCAGGCTTTCGCACTGTCTTCTATCACGAAGATTCCAGCTTCGTTGCGACCATTCACTTTTGACTATGCCTGTTTGTTTTGGCTCGCCATGCCAGCGATCCACTCCAATACGTCCCCGCCCCTTTAGGCGTATTGTTTTCGTTTATACCCTTGATATTCCTTGATATATATAACTGGTTTGATCACCATCCCATACATTAGTCCAGGGAAGGCACCAGTTTTGGAAAGAAACCTGTTATTGTGTCCCTTGAATTGTGTTGTCTCATCCTGGGAACGAGGCCCCCGTTTCCCAATATAACTTCAGCGTTATTTGACGTTGTAGCATCCCGGGCCACAAACTGCTAAGCTCAATAGCTCATTACTGAACAGAATCAAAATAACAATGTTTATTCCCAGCTTGTAGGTGGTGCGCCGTCAGGGGTGAGTATACGTTTACAGTCAGAATGAAGCATGACTGGTGTACTTGAGGGTATTGAAGAATACGCGAAAAAGAGGACAATATCATAAACAGCGGGCAATATCTGATTAAAATAATAATAATAGGTTCGTTTTCCGACTTGAAGGGAGTATGCTGATTGGGGCTTGATCGGGTCCTTGCAGCCTGAACGCAGCAGGCAACAAGACAACGGGGAGGAATGTACAAACAATGGGGCATGATTATTGCATGAAAAGTCATCGCGGTTGCAGGAACCGAGAAAAACCAAGACAGTGGATATGAGGTCCGATTAGTTCAAAGATGAAGCCGGCTGATATGAGTTAAAAGTGAGAAACATTGGTGGCCATGAGTGGCTTTGGGCGGTTGAATAAATGACCAGAGTCACAACAAGCAATGATGGAGATGGAGATGGAATAATTTGAAGTGGAGGCGAATAGAAAGCTTTGTTTCTAGAATAGAGTTTGACCTGAAATTAAGCAGATTAACTGGTGGCACTGCTGTAGGGAAGTGAGTGCATGGTATAGGTTCGACGGAGAGATATCACTAAAAGCACAGGGCAAAACGATCACCGTATACTGAATTGAACTTGTGGAAAAGATGAACCGAAATTGCTGCAGAAAACCAGGTTGGTCAAATTCGAACGAACGTTTAACCGGTTAGAATAAACCCTTCCCAGAGGCTGTTGGAGTCAGATGAAACGTTTGCTTGTAGTTGCAGCTACAGGCTCGTATGGGCATGAGTTTGCGGTGGAGATTCTGAAGAAAGTAGCTGCGGGGGTGCCAACAAACTGGATATGGCAGTGCCGTGCCATCCGTGCACTGACATAAATACCCTTGATATTCCTTGATATATATAACTGGTTTGATCACCATCCCATACATTAGTCCAGGGAAGGCACCAGTTTTGGAAAGAAACCTGTTATTGTGTCCCTTGAATTGTGTTGTCTCATCCTGGGAACGAGGCCCCCGTTTCCCAATATAACTTCAGCGTTATTTGACGTTGTAGCATCCCGGGCCACAAACTGCTAAGCTCAATAGCTCATTACTGAACAGAATCAAAATAACAATGTTTATTCCCAGCTTGTAGGTGGTGCGCCGTCAGGGGTGAGTATACGTTTACAGTCAGAATGAAGCATGACTGGTGTACTTGAGGGTATTGAAGAATACGCGAAAAAGAGGACAATATCATAAACAGCGGGCAATATCTGATTAAAATAATAATAATAGGTTCGTTTTCCGACTTGAAGGGAGTATGCTGATTGGGGCTTGATCGGGTCCTTGCAGCCTGAACGCAGCAGGCAACAAGACAACGGGGAGGAATGTACAAACAATGGGGCATGATTATTGCATGAAAAGTCATCGCGGTTGCAGGAACCGAGAAAAACCAAGACAGTGGATATGAGGTCCGATTAGTTCAAAGATGAAGCCGGCTGATATGAGTTAAAAGTGAGAAACATTGGTGGCCATGAGTGGCTTTGGGCGGTTGAATAAATGACCAGAGTCACAACAAGCAATGATGGAGATGGAGATGGAATAATTTGAAGTGGAGGCGAATAGAAAGCTTTGTTTCTAGAATAGAGTTTGACCTGAAATTAAGCAGATTAACTGGTGGCACTGCTGTAGGGAAGTGAGTGCATGGTATAGGTTCGACGGAGAGATATCACTAAAAGCACAGGGCAAAACGATCACCGTATACTGAATTGAACTTGTGGAAAAGATGAACCGAAATTGCTGCAGAAAACCAGGTTGGTCAAATTCGAACGAACGTTTAACCGGTTAGAATAAACCCTTCCCAGAGGCTGTTGGAGTCAGATGAAACGTTTGCTTGTAGTTGCAGCTACAGGCTCGTATGGGCATGAGTTTGCGGTGGAGATTCTGGAGAAAGTAGCTGCGAGAGTGCCAACAAACTGGATATGGCAGTGCGGTGCCATCAGTGCACTGACATAATTCGGTTTATGGACAGCTCTTTAAAGGTCGTCAAGGATGCCGCAACCGGAGAGGAGAACTTCAACTTGGTCGATTCAGAATATCACAGAATACTACACCGAGTTATTGATCATGACTCCGGAAATTGGGACCCGAGACTCATTGGCTACAATGACTAATGCCTGGTACTATATGCCTCCATAAGCCAGGCCATTCAGGTATGCACAATGCTGGCGGTCGCCATAAATTAGGAGCTTTTTGCAACTGAATCTTAAGATATTCCGGTTGCAGGGAACCCATCGCGACCTGTGTCCAGATTACTCCCCACCTCAGCATTTGAAGCCACATTGGGGATAGAACACCTAGTAGCGCTCGACTGGTTGATACCTGGTTGGGTTACACCTAACAATTGAAATGAATAGCCGCCTTTTAGCCCGTCATCCCCTAGTATACCATCTGCCCAACCTCGCTGAAGACTCAGTTAACCGCAGAACGGCTCCGCCACAACATACTGGGCTCTCCGGTCCTTCCTCCATTAGCCTGTTGAATGACCGTCTGACCCCAATACGTTTCACGCAGAAAAAGTTGATTCCTTGCTTCACCTGTTATGTAGCGCGTGATTTTATCTACTCGTTTGGCTTTCGCTACCGTTGCTCACTGCATTCAGCCGGTGGTCCACAGCCACTTCTTCAAAGGAGCTAGCTACCAACCACCACGTGGCCTTGTGGTTCTATTCGTCCTTCTCCAACAAAAGCTCCATGATACTCATTAAAGGCATCATTCACAGGAGTGATCAGTTTAAGTCTGTCTGTTACGTGGTAGCAGGACACAAAGTTGAGAATCGTTTAGAGTTAGGAGTGAATTCTGCGGGGTCATTAACACGAATCATCTGGAGAACATCCTAAATGACAAAGCGGCTAGAATGATAACGGTCGTTACCTAAAAGAGATAAAGAAGCAAAAATTTCGGTGGTAACTGAAATCAAAAGACATATGCTCACTGTGTGAAACAAAGTCCAACGATCCCGCAAAAATATTTTATTAAAATTACCCGTCCGTTATTTGCAGCTGAAACTGCAGTTCCTTATCTGAGGGACGGCGTAACAGGTTATTTACTTTTATGGCGTCAACGGTAAAACCAGTCCGGTTCCGAAGAGAGGCTAAGGGATTCGCTTGACGCTGTTCTGCAACGGATTCACAGCAGGGAGTCAAAGAAATTCGCCCATCTGCGTAAGGCAATCCAACAATTTTGATAGATCGCTCGGATGGTAAGGACGATTTACGGAACATCTTGTAATCTTCAGTTGAAAACCATATCCGGCTACGCCCCTCAAAATATGTGTACCAAGCGATTAAACTGCGGCGGGATGTTAAGTATTCGGTCAGTTCTATACAGCGCAGGCTCCGTAGTGGGTAGATACACGGTGCCTGTTGAGGCGTCATCTAGATTCCAAAGCTCATACACAAATTTGGACTTCTGGTAAAGGCTCGTTTTGCGCCCCATATAGCTGTCCATTGGCCGAAGCCTGTCAGGATTTGAGGTCTCCGGTTTGTAATTTGGAGTGGTTTCAGCCGACTCGACTCCCAGCCAGGAACTTGCCGACATGATTGCCTCCCTCTTTGACCAGCTCGCACCCGAATATGGTACTCACTAATCCCGAAATTTTCAACTCCGATGTTGCTAATGATCTTCATTTGTCCAAATGGGTGAAAATTTAGGGGACACTTGGAACGTTTCCGGTGCTCATGACCATATAAATTACTCAAAAACTAAAGTATATTTGATTCAATCTTGCAGGGGCTAAGGTTGAAGTTTGAGCGAAACTCGGCAAATTTATCTTTATGAGTGAGCGTATCCAGTTCAGCTCACAGCTACGCGCTACATAATTTCCAGGAAGTCAGAGAAACGCTCCACCGCAAGAAGGGCGGTTGATCCCGATTAATGTCACGGAGTCCGAAAAATCATTGGCGGAGAGAGCTTTCGGTGATTGTTCCTTTCTCAAGGGAGGATCACAAGCCTGTTCTTCAGAGACAGACGAGGAATGGAAGCAATCTATGGTTGCCAAAAAGGGGGGCAAAGAACAAATCGGGTGCCAAGCCATGACCGTCCACTGGTGCTCATTAATCAGGCTAGATAGCACAGGCTAATGTTTGAGATAGTTAGTATTTTGAAATCAGATCACTAAGCTTTTTGGCCATTTGTGCTCCAAAAATTGTATCAAGATGAAATGTATGGTAGAACGCCTGTTATTGGTGTGTGTGTGTGTGTGAGTTTATGAGAGGCAAAGAGGGCACCCAGTGGTCACTGAAAATCCATTGCTAGTTTCAAGATTCGGGTAGCGTCGGTAGGCACTCGAATGGTAAGGAAAAGCACCCCAAGTGATCCAACGTTAAAGAGGGCATTCAGATACCAAGATAGGCGTTCCTAAATTTCTAAGCGCACCGGACTTGCGCTAAGTTACATCTGCTAGGGTTCTTTGATCAACCGGCAGCTGCGAGGAAACAAGCAATAATTGATCATCGGAGGTTTCTATGCATCCGGCATTTATTTTGTGTAGAGCATGGATTGCTATTGATCTTTGCCCGGATATTTTGGAAATGAGCCGTGAGTGTCGTCCTGTGCGACACGCTAGACAGTCTTCCAGCTCACAGGCCTTATGCCATCATGAATGAGCAGCTTTGTGTTACGTGCCCTCAAAATTCGGTATTTGACGGTCTTTTGGGGCGTAGGAAGCCAATAAACTTCTCGTGAAGCCACCTTGAAGCCACGCAGCTACTGGAGAAGCACGATGTATACAAAGCTTTTGTTGATAGAAAATGTAAAAATCCGCTCGAAAAAACTGGGGCACGGAACCACTTTTTCTATAAAAACCATTTCCTTATCGGAGAAGGAGAAAAAAAGCGAATGGAATCCTGGATCTTTAGGTTGGCTGTGCTGAACACCGGCTGCTGATGGCATTATGAAGACGGACTCGGTTGCCGTCCGATGCTCTTGGGTCTTTTCTGTGGTAGTGTGTTTGGTGAAGCATTCCCTGTTTTTCCTTCTCACCCATCAGCAATTCTCACATAGAAGATGGAGATGTTGCTGCCCTCCTAGTCCGGTTGAGGTGCACCCCTATTTTCATGGGCAACCGCCAATTCTATCGCTTGATTAGTTTTCGAAAGCCTATCACTAGGTACCAAGTATTCCTCCACAAAGGGTGGGGAGGTGCCATAATACGTATGTATATGAGTGAGATCGACTTGCAAATAACAGGCATGTGCATTTGCTCCACTTAAGATCAACTTGTTTGGCCGTCGTTCTGTTCAGTGATGCAATAAACTGGCATCCGGGGGCCATAAGAGCATCTTAGGGGCATGTCAATGTTTTCTGAGCAACACGAAGTCTAAATAGAACGATTATGCATAACCGTTCTTTTAGCTAGAAAGATACGGTTGATAGTGCCAGGTTGGAATGTGCATTTCGGCTGGATTTAGTGCATTGTGATGTTTTTCCACAGAGGGTCTCACGGATTGACCCTACAAAAGGATGAATTTTCAAGGTTATTAACGGTTTAGTCGCCTAAATTTGTAACTGCTCAATGGTTCGCCACCAACTTATCAATATAACTGAAGTCTTCCATTCCGTTGTACCAATAAAAATTATCTCTCCAGTTTTGTACTGAAATCTGGCACACACCTTCTGCCCTGGTCGCCTAAAACAGCCTGATCGAAATGTTATTCGTATGTTAATGATATCGCCAAAAGCTTTTTTACTTGATGACGTAGCTCCGTTGCAATGACGCCAAACGTTTCATCGGAATGACCCGAATATCAAGAAATTCATGTCAGCCTCGTTATAAACGACAGTTTCTCTGCTGGAAATGCTTCCCACCATTCCCATAGCCTACTAAGTCGCTGCATCTAGAAAGCATAACTATTTGGAACTATTTCCATCACCCATGAAAAAATTTAAGACGGAAGATGGGCAACCAGTGTAGGCAATGTAGACATTGTCGCTTCAGTTCCTTGCTTCAAATATCGTCTTCCAAACTTCAAAAGAATTCATACGAATTGCTGCTAAATATTTGATAAAAATTTTGAACAAGTGTTGAAGGCCCAAAAATTTATCCGGTAAGCCCAGTCAAAACAATTCAGCGTTCTCTTGCGATGCGGACACCGCCAATGCTAACTGATCACTGCCCAATCAATTTTGTTAAAGGTACGGGAAAAGTCTCAGCTTATCGCTTCGGACCCTAAAGGTATTTTTCTTGAACTTACCAACAACCATGTTTACATTGTATGTATTGGCCAATTAAAGCGGGTAAGAACCTGTACCAAACAGTAGCTGAGGCATGTGCTACGACGCCCTGGGACCCGCCGAAGACAACTGGCGTTGGGCGAATACCAAAATATGATTGCGTGTTTACTCCATATGTTTGACTAACCAGGGTTCACTATGGTGGCACTGACCAGTAGCCTGGTTGTTCGACCAATCACATGCGGGTGAGTTTGATGTTCCATAGTTTGGCCGCAAGATACGAACAGGTTTTGGCTTGAGTTTTGCTTGCGATTTATTAACGTAGGTGTAGATCTCTTTGTAGTAGCAACATAGATTCGCACTTCATTTCTGTTTAGCCTAATGCGCAGAAATAATGCAAAGGCTGAGCTTTTTATGGAGCATTTGGTAACTGAGACCAGGTGGGTTCAATGGCATCTAAAGACAAATTTTCCCGGGCATGAGGCATGACCAGCGCATTGCTGCGAAGGCAAGTTCATTGAGCGGTCGTGGCACTACTTTGAGAAGAATTTTACAGGTGATCAGCCTGGTTTCCTGCTGCCATTTCGGCTTGCCCCTCCCACTAGTTCAAATCCGTACACAGTGTTCGGTCGGCCCTATGTTAAAGCAACGTGTCCCCATCCAACTTACCCCTTACACCTGACTTCCCTACAGCAGTGAAACCAGTGAGTCTTCTTAATTTCAGATTACGCCATATTTTGAGATAAAACTTGCCATGTTCCCCAAAGTCGATTTTTTTCGTCTCCGTCTCCAATTTTGCTCGGTGTGACTCCGGCCATTTACCAAACCGCCCAAGGTCACTCATGGCCAGCGATGGTTTTCAGTTTTAGTTCGGGTCAGCAGGCTAGTCCTTTGAGTTATTCGTACCTCACGCCCACTGTTTTCCACAAGCTAGGAAAGAAGCCCTATATTACTATTTAATCGAGCACTTCCAACCGTTTGTGACATCGTCCCCTTTTCGCACAATCCCCACTACCTGCGAACCCCCCAGTCATGCTTCATTCTGACTCTAAACACATGATCATGCCAGACTGTATGCCACCCACAAGTTGGGAATAAACATCTATATTATTATTATGGTTGTTGATAGGGCACTCTCGTAAGTGCTGGCAGGTGTCAATGACATTAGAGTCGTTCCGGTCCAAGTTTGCGTGTGGTAAATCCCAGTTATTTTTCGGCCACATGGAGCAAGCACAATTTTCTCAGTGTACTCCGAAGCAGTATTACTGAATATGGCCATACAACTAATAAAGGCACTGTGATAGTCAGCTTGGGCTTTTACCCAAGGGGATCGGGTCATCCTAATAAGTACCGAAATCGCAAGGATCCCTCAGCTTCATATCAGTGACTCATCGAAACACAACTGGGGTTGTCTTGACATCAGATGGCAGTCGTGCATAATGTAATAGGCTGTCGTGCGTGTTAATGACACAAAGTTCTATGGATTCCTTTACGACTTCGACCTGCAGATGTATCCCAGCCATACCGTTCTTTTCAAAGCCTGTTTCAGTTCGGCGAAAGGCCGCCTGGAACAGGCGAGGAGCTTGAACACATATCCAATTGTGTTTCGAACTGAAACCTGCCTGGATGTTGTTGATACGTAACGTCAGAATTTTCCATTGTCAAGCACGGTGGAACTTCAAAATTTCTTTGCCGAGTAGGAACGCTGCTTGTGGGCTACACAGCAGCCTCGCGTTGACTGCGGCCTCTCGGGTCAAAATACATCTTTCTCGTGGCCCGGGCGACTGCATCTGGCATACTTGTGACCAGCGATCTGCTGTTCATTTTATGGTAGGGAGTTCATTGTTGATAAAAACAGGTCGCAGATTGATCACACCCGTTTTGCGCTCCAATCTAAAGAGGCAGTGACATTCGGCGGTAGGCCTCTACACCGTCTTGGCATCCTTTTCAGTTACGTGAAGCACCCGGGTTCAGACGTCTGCATCTTGGTACGACTGGACAACTTTGAGGCATTCGGACCTCTTGCCCATCAGCCTAGCACGAAGTACTCGCATCCTTGGCTGCGTGCAGTCTTCCTGACCGGTTCGAAACAATAGCTGCGCCTACTACCATACGGCTGCCTCAGAGTTTCATCACAACTGGGGTCACAGTCATCCTTGAGGAATCGGAGTATTTCTACTGTTTACACTCTTCCTTGCCGAGTTTTCATGAAAAAAGACTGGTCTTTCATCCGCCATTAGGCCTAGAAAAATAAGTTTTAGGCGTGCTACCTCATTTTTTGGACCAGATGTCAAGAATGCGGTCGGAAGAAGGACATAAATATACGTCAGCTGAAGAAACACAAGACTCACTCACAGCGGCTGCGG